GTATGTTATCTTCCTTGGTTTTGTCTTCCACTAATCAGGGCTAGTCACATGTAAAAAATAGGGCTAGTTAGAAGTTTTTCATAATTGGGTATGTTATGTTGTAAATTAAGGGTTAAATTAAACTCCATTCGGTTTCATAATGTAGTGCATATAAATTTTTCAATGCAAACAATAAATAAGTATAGTCATTTGATGGGATTTGACTAATTTCATTGAGTTCACCACGAGTATATGATGGCTCTGCCCCTATCGCTAATAATAAACTTCTGAAATGAATATATATCATACAATTCTAATAATTTTATTACAAGTACACTCTGTTATGCTAAAGTAAATTTTGTTTTATGGTTAGTTGTTTAGTTTGCATTATTTCTTATGATGGCTCTCACTTCAAATTTAAACAAATGTAAACTATCATATTGTGCTAGAGATGAATTTGTGTCATAATTAATGGTTTTATAAGTGTCCATGTATGTAGTAGTCTTACTATATCTGCAAAACTTTGTAGAGTGTTATGGGTGCATAAATCTAATAAGAAATAGTAGATGACTAGAGTAAATAACTATCAAGCTTCGGTGTAAGGCAAATTTTAGCATGCTCCCTCTTACCTCCCATTTTCACATGATCTGAGCCACTGATTTGATTAACTAGTGGTTTGATTAACTCTTCTTACCTCTCAAGAGGGGGTAAGAGGGAGCATGTTAAAACTACTCTCGATGTAATGATGCTGGCCCAGGAAGCACGTTGGGTTAAAGTATATAACATCTTGCATATGTACTTTTGCTATGTTTATCAAACCATAAAGTAGAGTTTCTCAATATTGAGGCAGACTAGACATCAAGCTCCGAATAATATCCTTGTTTTGCTGAAAATGTTGATTTGCAAGCCAGTAAAATACACATGAACTAATGATAAAAAGAACAAGCTATAATTAACTATGCCGAAACACGAAACACAACTCACATGTCGGCAGCGTGAGGCAAACGACAAGAAGAGAGCATGTACCACGACCCTATAAGGGTCAAGTTCGTTGTAGCGGACGAGTCATTTCCACTTGGAGTAACTTGTCCGCCCTAATTGATTTACGACCCAGGAATCAGTATACATGGTACAGATGTGAGCTGAAAGCTTGTCAGAATGTTAGTGAGCTGACAGCCCCGTTGGATTAATTAACATTTTTTTAATAGACCCCATGAGAAAATCCTCATACTACTTCAAGTGAACAAGGATATCAATGAAAGTAACAACTATTGCAAACGAATTGGCCAAAAAAAATGGAATGGATAGATTATTCCTCGTGTCAGGAAGATGAGACCACGGTGGCAGCATTAGCATCAGAATTGGTGGCCTTCTTCGCGATACCATTGTTGCCGCAATATCGGAGGCCTGCTTTTCCGCACAATCGTGCATGTAATCGCCCAGATGGAGTAGTCGGAAGCAACAAACAAAGAGAGGAACGATAGTGGTGCGTACGCGATAGGCAGAGAGCAGATGCGATCTGATCAGGTAATGGCTGTGATTGCCATTCTATCTTAGATATACTCATCTGATATGAGCTTGACTCAGCTCGTCCACGGAACATAATGCGTGCGAGGCGGATGGCTGAGAAGCGCGTGTACACCTTCTCTTCTCATGCTCCAATGATAGTGGAAACGACATACGAACTTCCACCAAATAGTAGAGATGTCAAACGAAAGTTTTCTGGTTATGGTTATGAGTGGTTTTTCTAAGCCCAAGTGCAGTGTACCCTTAAAAAAACTAGAGCAGTAGGGGGAAGAAGCCCCTGCTAATTTTTAATAAAGAAGGAGATGTGAGACCTGTGTAAGAACCGAGGTTCGAACCCGCGCCGGCTGGGTGGCAGCACTGCCCCCTGGCCACTGAGCCGAGAGCTCATCCACCAGTGTACCTTTTATGTTTACCTTCCAATATTGCTTTGAGATCTGTGCTAGCGAACGTACTTACTACATGAAAGTATCTCTTTTTTGTTTCTCCGAAATAAAACAACGTATGGGCTCCAAACTTTGCAGGTCAACGGAACTTTAGAACTACAATATGTGAAACAAATTTCAGATTTTTGGTCTAGCATAAATATACAAATTCAGTTTTTTTTTAGTAAAAGAACATATGTTCAAAACCATGTAGTCTAGGAACAATGGGAGGCATTGCAAATTATGTGAATTGGCAGTGATAAAACTCTAAATTATGTCTCCCTGCAGCTTTCACGGTATGTGATTGAACAAAAACAACTATTTTTTTTAGTAAAGAGAGCAGTTACAGTTTAGAACATCGCCCTACAAGATCTTGTCTGTTCAAGTGTTTTGTTTGTAATTGCTTGGTTAAACTTAGATTCAGCTATGTAGCTAGCACTTATCCTTGCTACTAACGCACACAGGGCACCCGGCCTAGGTTTGCCGCTTCCTGCCCTCGCAGCCACCGGGCTGCCTTGTCTCATGTGGCTTTAGGGTCATGGAGGTGCGGTGGATCCCGGCTCTTGCCTGCGAGAGGGCTTCATTTTTTGTTGTTTTTCTGAGTTTTGGTAGGGTCCGTGTTCTGCTCAGGAAGATGAGATAGCGGCACTCCCTAAGATGGAATAAGGTTCTGCTCACCTAGCCCCCGTCCCGATGATGCTTCCAGAGTCATCTAAGGGTTTGTGGAGGTTTATCTCTGATGGATCTCGCGGGTTTCGGTCGGTTTTTTTCTTCCGTGGAGCCGATCTTTGTTCATCTATTTTTGTGTGTCTACAGGTAGGATCCTTCCAATCTACGCTTCACTTCATTGGCAATGGTTGCTGTTCTGGTGTACTGGTCCCTTGAGGCCTTAGCATGATGACTTCTAGACTATCTACTACAACCAAGTTTATCTAGCTCCGGTAATAGAGGAGCGATGAGCGCGGCGCGCCTTCGGCTCGCTCCAGTGCTTGTAGTCGTCGCTAGGTAGTCTACTGACTTGAATGTATTTTTTACTTATGGTGTTGTTGTACTTCCTTAATAGTTGATGAATAGATCGATAGTTTTTCCCGAGAAAAAAAACTTAGATTCAACTTTGTTAGTTCAAGTTGGTAATTACAATCAAGATATTAGTTTATGAGTCATTAGTTGCGTTTGTTTCCTTGGGTCGTCACATGTTTTTTCAAGCTTGGTGCTTATGTGCAAGGACTAATTGACTTAGGGTCCTGTGACATAGGGTCACTGACATGTGGACCATCAGGTCTGTGACCCCACATCTCAGTGACCCTAAGTCATCTGACGTTACCTCGGCCAATCTGAGGCCATGCTAGTGCTACTCATATAGTTGTTGTCGGGCCATATTACCCATCATGTCATGCATTGATTTGTCCACGAAAACAGCCCATGAAGCCATATTTTTCAGGCATGGCGACGTGTGGTCACTTAAGTTGCTCGTTGTTGTATATTGTCAAGAAACAAGTTGCTCCTTGCTGTATCAACTGTATCGATTCCGGTTTGCATAAAGTTATTGCTTGATTTGTGCATATTACTAACAGCCGACAAATGATGTTGATTGTTGCCCATGGCAAACTTGTGCATACATTGGTCGTTGGAGTTGTTTCAAGCTCGTTGTGTAGTTTCATAAGTTGGGTATAATATCCCGCCTCACAAAATGCACATAAAAGCATCATCGTTTCTGTCAATAAGTTGTTTTTTAATATACTTTTTGCAGAGAGTTAATTGCAAAAACCACCACATTTGCGGCTTCTTCTGCAGAAAACCACCTGGTCCCTAATCCTTTGCAAAAAGCACCGCACATTCGGTAAATTTTTTGCAAAAAGCACTGATCAGGTGATTTATCCCGATTAATCACATTCTGACAAATGGGGCCGGCTTGTAAGGAGCTGGCTTAGCAAAAAAATTACACACATGCCCTGCATTCCAAAAGCAGAAAAGCAATCCAGTCCTTGTTCCTTGTTGGTTGTCGTCAGATGGCGCACATGGACGAGCAGATGAGGACGGCTGTTGCATGCTGAGTGTCTGGCTGCCCGCGGTTGGTGCTGCTCGCTGCCGCAGCTGCTGCTGCTCACCGCCGCTCCCTGCCGTCGCGGGTGCAAGCGGTTGTTGCTGCTTGCCTCCGCAGCTCCCCACAGTTGCTGCTGCTCGCTAGGGACGAGCCAGGTGCGCGGCCAGCTGCTGCCGTGGCCAAGGATGAGGAGAGCAGGCTGCAGTGGGCAGCGAGAGGGACCGCTCGCCCGTCGGCGGAGCTCCGGCAGCGCAGCGGCAGGGCCGGGTGGTGCTTCCGGCGACGGGCTTCCAGCTACGACGACGGGAGCCGGTGGGGGTAGCGGAGCCGCGGGGGGCGATTGG